ATGGCCTTGCTGCTCTGAGGGAAAGCAAAGTACGAGGCAGTGTAGGTCCAGTGGGTCCACTTGTGCAAGGGCTGCGCATAGCCTCAGGCTGATCTTTGAGTAGGATGTCTGATGATCCGTCTTTTGTGTGTGGGAAATGCTCCCAGGACGCAGTGGAATCCCTTTGCCTACCGTGTCCTGGGTAGAACATTGAAATTATTTAGCCAAGGTCAAGGAAAACCATATCCAGCTGCATTCCCTGGAAAAAACTACATCCAACTGCATTCCCTTGTCCCTGACTGTTGGTGGTGTAGGCTCCAAACTCTGTATTCTATACAAACACAGTAATCCAAAATCAAAATCATCCTGTATTCAACTTAAAAGACAGTTTTAAGTTGACTGTAACATTAAAATGAGAGGCTTTTGCCTCCTAGTGCTAGAAAAGAGCTAAAGTTTGGTGGGTTGTTTTTTTTTTTTTTTAATCTGAATTCTCAATAGAGAAAGGAATACCCAGTAGACTTGGATTATTGAGTGATGTCTTCATCCTCTGGGTGCAAAAAATATAATGAAGCAAAAACAGGAGGTGAATTCAATTTACCTGTCTTCTACTGAAATGAAAACCGTGTGGAGCAAGATGATCAGACTGAAATAGTCCCAAGTCTGTCTGTACAGGGTCTTACCGAGGAGGATGTACAAGACTGCATGATGGGGAGATCTGTTATATGGCCAGTGTGGTGTTACCCAGACCTTTGCTTGCTGGGGACTGGCCAGAGCTTACTGTGTGCTAATAGCCACCCAAGTTGCTTGCCATTACCTATGGCAGCTCCAGACATTGCTGATGTGTACCTGCCTATCGTTCCTTTTCAGCTTTGCTTTGCAGTGAGTCAGAAGAGGCTGTACAAGGTGACATTTCATATGCTGCTGCATATGTAGCCTTTGGCCTAATGAAAATTGCTGGTGCTTTTTGTGTGACAGAAAGAGCACAACGTCCAAGATAAACTGAGGAGAAGAGATCTGGGTATGCAAGCCTTCATTTAGAAAAGGGATCTTTCATCTCGCTGACAGCGAGGTTCCTGCAGCGCTTTGATTGCCCTTTAATTATGTCTGTTTTTCCTGGTTTGTTTGAAAGGCAGATCTTGTTAGAAAAAGGTGCTGTGTGGAAAGAACTTGGCTGTCTCTGCTGCCCTTCCTTGAGGGCACGTAGCAGAGCTGCTGCATCCATATTTTTTCCCTGCATTATTAAAATGGAAGATTATTTCTCGTAGATGTGGATGTAGCATGGTGCGTCCCTCCTGAGTTGGGCGAGGAGGGACACGAGTGGTTGGGTGGTTAAAGCAGACTGGGAAGTCATGAGGTCTGGCTTCTTCCCACACTGACTTCCAGTGAGATCCCAGAGGAGGTGCTTTAATCCTTCTGCCTTTGGTCTTTTGTTGTGTGCGGCTGGGCTGCTGCTTGTCCACCCCAAAGGCTGCAGGAAGCCCAACCTGGTGTTGGCTGGAGGAGTCTCTGTAGCCTGTTGGGGTGAACGTAATAATGGGGGGAGCAGTTAACAGCTCATATCAACTCACAGGTTTCATGCTGTTTGGTGTTTTATGAGAAACCCTGCCATTGTGTAGCCATCTGTCTCGATGAGAATCTCAGCTTTCAATAATAATAATAATAACAATTAAAAGGCATGAAAAAAATCAACAAAGAAGGAAGATAAAGCCTGGCTTTGATTGGAGAGAAAAGCCTGGAAGCATGATTCAAATACAGACTAAAGGCTTAACTGCCAAGCTTAAGCAAAATAACTTGGGAAGAGGTTTCTAATCCTTTTAGAACTCTTGGTTTTAAAGAAAATCTGCGTAACTTCTGAGGGCTTGACTCGTGTTTGATGGTGCTTGGGCTTGACAGAGCTCTATTTTAAGTGCTGTCTTCATGTCAGATCTTGGGAGGTGAGATGAAATTTTTTTTTTAAAAGTAACAACAAATCTTAATATAGCTGAGAATGCGGAACTGCCCTTAGAAAAATAGGTTGGACACATGAAAAGGAATCTTGCTCAGCAGGCTGAAGACGCAGAGCAACTTCTGTGGTTACGTTTTTCTTTCTTCTGGCAATTTTGGGGTGGGGATGTAGTTGGCGCAGTCACTGGGCCTTACGCTTCTTTTCAAGCACAAGTCAAATCTTCCTGAACAAAAAAGCACCTGGCTGAAACTGTTGTAGCCCAAACTGGAGAAGCTGTTCACTAAGTCTCCAGTTTTGTGGAACTTGAGGCAACCAGAAGCTGCTCAAAAGTAGGAGTTACAGGATAGGTGGGGAGAAGCAGATGATCCTTTTGAACTGAAATGGCTTTGTATGAGCGGGAGAAGACAAGCTGGCTCTCTGTTGCTTCAGAGAGGTGATTAGGTTTTAGTTGTCATCTCCTGCCTGGGGTCCTGAAGACTTAAATGGCATGAAAATGAAGTCAGCTGTTTAAAGCCAAAGCTAATCAAATGAGGAGACTCTAAAGTAGGAGGATAATCTTTGTTATCTGACAGGCAATCCCAAATTCCCATGGGATGCCTGCACAGCTCCGTTGTAGTAGCATGTGTCTTGTCATGCTGAGACCAACCCTTCTACCTTCAGCCCACTGTCCTGCGTGGGCTTTGCAAGGCTCATAAGCCCTGAAAACTGAAAACCTGCATTCCCAGGAGGGAAGTGGCACTGCTTGTGAGGGAACCTGTGAGGTGGCTGGTGCTGCACATTGAGTCCACTGGTGTCCAGTGGTGTGGGACTCAAACGAGGGATTTCACAGGAGTGGTGAGGCTGTGGTGGACTTGCTGGCACGGCTGCTTGGGCATGTTATGTTTGCTCAAAGAATGCAGTCATTTCTTCATGCAGAAGTGAGGGTTGGGTGTGAATATTCAGTATGGGCAAATAAATCTAAAATTAAAATGTAACATGTAAAAATATGCAAACACTGGAGTTGAGGCTCTTTTAAAAAACAAAACTCCTGCTCCGGGAACACAATTATTCAGGCTGTGCACACATCTGATTACCTAGCTCCAAAGTGGGTGGAAGCAGCTCCTCAAACTCCTTGAAGCTTTCCCCCTGGCGTGTCCCAGCGCTGCAAGCAAAATGCCCATGTAAAGTTGAAGGCAGCAGAAAGGGGAAGGGGAGTGGATAAAAGCTAGCAAAGCCATTGTTTGGGTTAGTCTGGGCAAGACTGAGAAGAGCTTGTTTGAAAATCCTCTTCCTGGCTGTGATTTGTGATGTACTTCATGTTTTCAAAAACATCATCTTGGCACAGCACAGGTTTGGGATGCTGGACCACAGGCTGGGGGGTCAGCAGGCACTGAGCACCTTTGGCGCTGGTGTCCAAGCAAGTTGTCCTGGATTGGGCCACTGCAGGATGAGCAGTGGAGGTCAGGGTGGCTGGGGATGGGGCTCTGTCCACATGCCATACTGGCATGAGTTAGGTGTTTCTTCACGCATCTCCATGTCCCTGTGCACAAGCAGGACTCGGGGGGCATTGCCAGTGCTGTGAGGCTGTTTGCTGAGCTGGTGTGTGGGCAGCCAGTGCTCACAGGGGCTGTGAGAATTTGCGTGTGAATCTCTAATGTTCAGACAAGTTATTACAAGAGAGACACCTATACTGTTCTTCCCCATCCCCCGTCAGGCTTTTCATACTACTGCGTTATATATGGGGGGTGGGGGGGGTGGGGAAGTTACTACACTTCCATTTCCCCTCTTTTGTTAAAACTAACGGAGGATGTTGCAGAACCTGTGTGAAGAAGCCCATGATACGCACTTTGCAAAACCACAAACCCGTAAGGTTTTCAAAATCTACCTGGAGTCTTTGCAACACCGGGATGGCTCCGGGAGGTGGCACTAACTCACTGCAGAGACTGCCAAATGGGTGCTTCGTGGTAGTAGCACAGTGAGTGATCAGGTAGTGATCCTACAAAACCTCTGGCAAGGTGCTTCTGCTCCCAAGGCTTCGATTATTCTGTGACGCAGTGGGTTCCCAGCCTTTGTTCATGAGGCAGAGAGGAGAGGAGCCGTTGCAGGTCTTGGTAGGTCGTAAATTCCTGGTAATTAGTCCTTGTAGCTGCTGCTGAGACGTACCAGTAATGAGGACTGTGTCTGGGGAAAAGCCTGAGGCACAGCAAGCCCATGTTGTGGATACAAACTACACTGGTCTATCTGTTCATATCCACACAGGGATACTTCCTCCTTCTGTTAAGCAGCATTGGTCTTGTTCTCTGGTTGGGTTTGGGGTTTTTTTAAGCAGTTATGAAAATAAAATCAGCTACATTCAAAATCAGTCTAAATTCATTTTCCCTATAATTCAATTTTTTTGTAAGAATAATGAAAATTTTTCTCTTTTGTTATGAACATTAACAGGATATTGTAGGTCTTACTGGGGAATATTTGAAATAGTGTTCATCTTTCTAGGTGTAAAGCCCAGAAACTCTCTCACTGAAATAATGGCATTATTCTTGTGCTTAAAGGTAACATGTTGCCTAATGCATTTTTAAAAGGTTTTAATATTACTTACAAACAACACCCAACAAAAACCACCCAAGTAGTTTCACGCATAGGCTGTGCTCACAGCAGCTTATGTAAAACTCGTGGAAAGCTTTGTTACAACTTGCCCAAAGTCACATAGTTTTTTTGAAGCATGGCTGTGTTCTTATGCTAAAACACTGGGCAGTGAGAATTGGGTGTAAGAGGATTCATGTTGCTAAAAGTTTGATTGGAGATCTCTTGGGCAGAATATTCTGGGAAAGATGGGTGGACTTTTCATGAAGTTTGAAGAGTTAATTGAAATTCCTTCTGGAAAAAGTGGCTTTGTCCCCTGTGGTGGCTTTATATAAAGGATAAAGGATGTCGTACTGCTGCTTGGGGATTTTACCTGGTTGCTCAGAAGAACGAAGGTCCTGCTTGCAGTGCAGGGACCAGCAGTTAGATCTAGGCACTCTCTGAGTAGTTTCTTGCTCAGCAGCCAGCCACGACTCTGTGTGTCACTACTGATGGGTGCTGCTCTCCTCTTCTGCAGGTTTTCATTTCTGTGAACTGCCTCAGCACAGATTTCTCCTCTCAGAAGGGAGTTAAAGGCCTGCCCCTGAATCTTCAGATCGACACCTATAGCTACAACAACAGGAGTAACAAACCTGTCCATAGAGCCTACTGCCAGATTAAAGTCTTCTGTGACAAGGTAAGGTTGAATCATTGTGCTGGTGACCCTTTAGGAGAGGCTGGTCAACAGCTTAGCAGCGTTTTTTCCTTAATTTTACTTTTCTTCCCCCAATTCTGCCACTTGCTATTTTGGCTTCCTGAAGACTCATCTGTGTTCAGCCTTGATGATGTTTTCAGCAACATTTTTGTACCCCTCTGGGATACTGCAGTATAATGAAGTTGGGTGGGTGCTGTAATTTGATTGCTTTGTCTAATAATGGATTGAGCTCACAGAGAATTAACACCTTTCCCAAAGCAACTGCTCACCAGAAGCTGCGAAAGAAACATAGCAGGAGCTGAGCTGAAAGCAGTTGTGGAAGTGTGAGTTTGCAAAAGAAAGGGTATTTTCCAATCTTTGTAACCTGTTCCTGCTTGAGCAGTCTTTTGAAGGATCAGAGCAAATAATGTGCAATGTTGCTATTTCCAGAGTGACCAAGATCTTTCTAGGCTGGGATAAATGCTGCCTGGACTTCTCCAGTCCTTCTGATTGCTGTGAATCACACCAACTTCCTGTTTTGCTGGCATGCTACTTGATTAGGGCCTCTGGTTCTTTGCATCTAGACTGTCTTCACAGCACAGACTCCTTGTGACATCTCAGATCCATCTCTGTTCAGCTGCAGGTCTGAGATGGGCTTGTAACCCTCACTCTTGAGTCCTTTGCTACCTTTGCACAGGTCCCATACTATGCCTTGTCATCCCCCAGAATACTGCCACAAAGACTCATCTGAAGTGCTCTTACCACTTAACTCTCAAAATAGATGGGGACCCTATACAGTCTGCCTCTGCTGTAGCATCCCATTGACCCATCCTTCCGTGTTTTATTGTCCATCTGTATGCTTTTAAGTAGGCCCCTCTGCTTTTCTGCATGGCTGGGAGAAGCTGCCTGTAGTCACCTGAACTGAATCAAACTCTGCTACTTGGGCATCTTCCTTCAAGTGCCTCCTGAGATGGCTTCTGTTGTGATGATTTCTGCAAAGAACTTACTAGGGAGTCGATGAATGCTCTCCAGAGCTATCTTAAAGACTTGCCAGTAAGCCTGATCAGCTTGGGTCTTATGGGCTTTTTCAGGCCTTCCTCCCATGCCCCTTCTATTTTTCTTTTATTTTTCCTCTTCTAAGATGAAATTGAGGCAAGTGTGTCCTCTAGAGCTCTTTCATTATCTGGGACTCTGGTGTGTTATCAGCCTGAGCTCTCTACAATACCCGTGAGTATAGACTTGCTGCAGGGAAGGGGAGGATCTTTTACTTGTAGGTTGTCTGATCAATTACTGACACTGTGCTAAAATTACCAACAAGCTTGTGCCACTGCTAGTAAGAAATATTAGTTAATAAAAGAGCAGATGTGTAGTTAGTAGATAGCTTAAAGGAAACCATTTCAGTCTACCATAAATTTTGGCAAATCTAGTAATACAGAAATACTGTGTACACCAATACTGTAATACAGTACTATTAATACAGTAATGCCAGTGTATCTTTGATTTCTATTTGGGATTTTGACATTTTCTCCTGCTTTATTCTCCAGATATTTTGCAAGCTGAATGAAAAGAGGGAGGGAAGGAGAATAGATTATTTTTCTGTGCTTAATCTGACCGTTGCTCTGTGAACATGCAGGCAGTGTGAGCTTGGTGCCTGAAGATTCTGCAGTTTGCTTTTACAGAAGTGGTGTTGAAGTTTGCTGCCTTTCAGATCCTGCTCAGGTCTGGCAGTGGGAGCTGGGGACAGAGGCCAGCAAGCCGACTACTATTTGTCACCACATTGAATCAAACTCTTTACTCAAACACTTGTTTGAGGCACAGGGCAAATGCTCCTGTGAGCAGACCTGGGTCCTTACAGCTGCAAGTACTGACTCATTGTACTGGATTGACCCCAACTGGACACCAGGAGCCCACCAGAGCTAGTGTTGTCCCCTGGGACCTGCTGTTTCTTTTGTAGTGATGGGCAGTGCTGTGGGAAGGGTTTTATGGGATGGTAGGAACAAGCAAGTGAGATGCTGTTGGGAGGAGAGAGAGGGTGCAAAGCAGCTGGAGGCAGCATTGACGTGGATGGACAGCAACACTAAGACTGTTCCTTCTGTTGCGTGATCATAAAATGGTTTGGGTTGGAAGGGACCTGAAGGATCATCCAGTTCCAACCGCCCTGCCATGGGCAGGGACACCTTCCACTACACCAAGTTGCTCCAAGCCCCATCCGACCTGGCCTTGAACACTGCCAGGGATGGGGCAGCCACAGCTTCTCTGGGCAACCTGTGCCAGCACCTCAGCACTCTCATTGTAAAAGAAAAGGGATGTTGCATCCTCCCTCTGCATCTCTATTGCTTATCAGATACATCATATCCCTCCACGGGAGGTAAGCAGGAAGGAATGGCAGGTCTCTCCAAAATGCCAATTCCCTTTCTCAGACCAAGAGTCCATTACACAACTGGAGTCTTTGAGGGGAAGAAAACCACAAAAAAAAAAACCCAAACCCCTGTCACCTTGAACACCTAGACCAGACTGTGAAATCTGCTGTTTAGACTGTAGGCTGTTCTCTAGGTGAAGTTGGAAAAACCTCTTTCTTAATAGTTCATTTATTCCATCATTACGCAATATAGGATTGCCACTGTCTTTTCCTCAAAAGTGTCTGATCCTGGCTGTTGCTGAGCTCCCCTGGCAAGGCTTTTCAGCTTGTTAAAAGGCATGACTTTCTTTTTCATGTGGGATTAGAGATGTGTTTACCTGGGCCCCTGTAGGCTGGATCAAGTCGACTTTCAAGCAGAACTCTGGCTGTAGGTATGGGAGGGCAGAGGTTTTCTCACAGTGTGTGCTCATGATGGATTAGCACATTCTCCACGAGGAAGCAGGTGCTGCTCTGTAGCACAGTGTTTGAGCAGCAGAACTTTATTATTTCCTCATGAAAGGTAAAAACCAGATCTGGAGCCAAATCTGATCTTGCTGCTGTCAAGCTGGGATGTTGTGACCCTTCTGGTAAGGGAAGTTGCAGAGGAGTGTGGGTCCAGCTGTGCTGAGGTTCAAGTCTTCGCTGTAGTGGGCTGTATCAGCTCTGTGGGGTCAATCAAAGCTGGCAGTGCCTGTGCCTTCATTACTGATTTTCTCTTTTGCACAGTAGCTGCCTGAAGCTGCTTGTGTCCCTTCTGCTGTGTGGGAGAAAAGGTGATACATGTTAGTGCACATCAAATATCTAGGCCAATTTTCCTTTTTGATGCTGGTGCAGATGTGCCCACTGCTACCTACTAGGTATAGACGTCCTGTCACATACAGGGTGTTGATTTACTGGGAATTTAGGAGGGCTGTTGCCCTTCTCCAGTGCTGCACAGCGTTAGACATTGCTTCCCACCCCATCGCCACATACTGCTTTGACGCCTTGTTTGCCATAGCTAACCTAGTCGTCCAACAGCACCATGCAAGGATGTGGGTGTGTTTTGGCAGCTTTGTAGGGGTGGGAATGAGAAATAATGGCTTCCTGTGGCCAGATAACTGTTACCTTTTACCCTACTTTGCCAGAGGGGTTTTGGGAGACAGGTAGAACTAGTGTATACCAGTTTGGGCAGTGATCTGGTGGTAGCACTTAGGATTGAATGTTGGGGATCTACTGTGGGCTTATTGCCTCGTGCAACTGGCAACATGACATCTGTGTCTTAACCCACAGTCATGTATGAGGTCTGGGCAGAGCTGGAGGAATGAACACTGCTCCAGTACAAACCATCTTCCTTCTTTCTGTCTCCATCATAGCTGCTTGTACCTTGCAGAAGACCTCTCTCTTTCCCCACTGCTGCTTGGTTTGGAGGACCAGGAAGTGTGCAGGCATAAACCCAGTTAGGTGTCTGTGGGTTCCACCATAGTCTGGCCCCAATAAAAGGAGAAGAAATAATGCCTGCTTTAAAATGCTGCATGTCTACAGCTTGAGAGCAGTGAAGGCTGGTGTAACTGCTGCCAGCTCAATGTGCAGCAAGGTATCTTGCACTTGATGATCTAGGAGTGGCATGACTTTTACAGATCTGGATTTAATAATGGTATAGTGAACTCTTGAACTGAGGGCACCTGTAATTTTTTTGTTGTTTTAAGTACTTCAAATATATATATATATTTATGTAACACTTTATAAAGTTGTTATAGCTGTGTGTATCTTTTGTCATCTTATCCTCATCTGACTTGAAAGAAAAGCAAGTGGTTGCATCTCGGAAATGGTTGTGGTTTTCATTAAATGACAGGACTGAAAAGTAAGCAGATCCCCAAAGCTGGCACACTCTGGCAAACCTGCAGCTTGGGTACCATGGAGCTGACCTCCACAAACACAGCTCAGAAGAATCGGTGTTCCTGCCTCTGCAGCTGAAAAAGACAGAAAAGTCTAAAAAGACCTTCTCTCTCTCCCCTTTCCTTTAATCTCATTTGGCAGGGAGCAGAGAGGAAGATCAGGGATGAAGAGCGAAAGCAAAGCAAAAGAAAAGGCAAGTGCACTGACCCCAGCTCTCAGTTGAATGCCTGTAAGTAGAAAATACTCCATTGGTGTTCTAAATATTAGATCTCATTTTGGCTATAAGTTACTCATGCAATAGAACTCCTCTTAGGTGAATTTTTATCACCTATGGAATAGGGCTTGTTTTAAGCAGTGTGTCATGGAGTCATTAATTGTGTATGTTGCAACATACTGGGTCAGTTAGGACTTCGCTTCTGCGTAGCCTTCCTGGCCAAGACAGGGTCCCACTGCGTATTTAATCAGGTATGGGTTTTAGCAGTTGAAGAGACAGGGTGAGAGTGGCATTTTTGGGCACTTGTGGACCCCCTGCAGCTCTAAGTGGCAGACAGAACTGGAGCTGTTACAAATATTTCCAGCTTGATCCTAAACTTAGGCTGCAGTGGCAGCCTTGGGACTGAGCTTTCAGCCTCCCAACCCTAAGCTCGCTCTTGTAGAAAGCAGAGTGGTCCTTAGTAAATAATGTCAGCAGAAGTTGTTTCTGCACGTGTGAAAGCCTCAGCACTGTAGTATGTAAAGGCTGTGGAGCCGCTTCCTGCTGAGCATCCTTCCTTTCACTGCTGAAGGTGACTGCAACAGATCCTGTGTTTGGATCACTTATTCACCAGCAGAGCTACTTAGAGGATAATGTATCTCCCTGCTCCTGCTGTGCACGGGGCAGGTGCGTGTTTTCGCTTGCTCTGCTCAAGTGTGCTTGTCAGAGCCGTGCTATTAACAGTCCAACTGGTTGAACAAGCATGCACCTCACAGCTTGCTGGGCAGGATTTTCCTGACGCAGCAGGTACAGGCTGCTGGAGCCGCTTCAGAAGAAGATAAATGCTGTAAGGGAACCCATTTGCTTAAGGGCAGTTGTGGCAAGGGCTGGGTTTTGGGTTTGTTTTTCCCCAAAGAAAGGTAGGTTTAGCACTCTGTTAGCATTTCACACATGTAGCAGCCCCACTGGCTCCCAGCAGATGACAGCATGCAGCTCTTCCTCACGGCAGGAAAAGTGCAAACAGCTTCAATACAGACTTCCAGGACTGTATGATTTTACAAAAGCTGCTTTCCAAACTGAATTCCCAGGGCTTGGGCTTAGCCTGATATGACCTTTATTTTCCTGGAAAGTAGTCCATTGCAGTTCAGTTCTTGTGTGGGAAGTTTTTGATTGCTTTAAGCCATAAGCTGTTATACCCACCTCCAGGATCACAAATGCCACGTGCACATGGGCTCGTCAACAGCAGACATAGTTTGTGGCTTTGGGTCACTTACTTTTATAGGGATTGAGCAATCTTTAAAAAAGTTTTTCAAGGAAAGAAAGAAGGATAATTTCCACTGGCAACCTAAGTGGAGTGTTTGCAGGTAGTTTGACCCAAAATTGAAATATTTCCACGTCGTAAAACAAAGTCTTCAGTTTGACATGAGTGTATCTGAAGTGCAGTTAAGGCGCCTCCTGCCTCCCTGTCACCCATCCTTTGTGGGTGAAGCCTGTCCACTTGGTGGCTTGTTCACATGAGTTGGTGCATCGTGAGAGCCCAAGTGCTCTGTGAGAGACAGAACTGGAGTCTGGGGGGGATGAACCAGGGTCTGTCAGCTTGAGGTGACCAGGATGAACAGTGAGGTGAAGAACAATGTAAAATTGGAAGTGTGGAATCAAAATGTAACTCTAAATGTATCATCTTGCAAGAAAGGGTACTTGTACTATATCTGGTGTGACAGTGCTTCTGTGGTGCTGTCTTCTTGAGAGGCTCCCAACTGAAACCACGTGGGTTGCAAATTGTCTGTTTGTTGTCTTTCTGCCTTCCTTATAGAGGAGACGCAGCAACCTTTTGAGGGAATCAGTAGGGAGGAGGGAGAAGCAGGGGGTTGGACTAACTTTTGCCCTCTGGGTGGTTTGCTGAGTACCTGGAAGCCCTAGGTTCCTCTCTTGGGGTGAGTGGTCAGACCATTCTTCGGCCCAGTTTAATATCAGAATAAAGTAAAGCAGCTCACTGGAGAGATGGAAAAAACTTCTGCTGCTCTGTGAAACAAGCTCTTTCCTCAGGGTCCAGACCCTCATCTGAGAGGTAGACTACCCAGGTTCAAACTCCTCTACCACAGGAGCTTTTCCCTTTGACCCTGACTACAGAGTACCCTTGTCCAACAATGTATGTGCCATTTAAATGATGTAGGAAAGCCACAGCCCTGTCAGTGCCTTCACTGTCCTCTGTTTCAATCTTTGGTCTCTGCAGTTTCTGATGTCAAAGTGCCCATGCTTCCCTCGCACAAACGTACGGACATCACCATCTTCAAGCCCTTCATGGATCTGGACACTCAGCCTGTCCTTTTCATTCCTGATGTTCACTTTGCAAATCTTCAGCGTGGGGCTCATGTAAGTAAAGCTCATGGGTGTGGGGATGAGGAGGGTACGGGATGTATTTGGAAAAAGCCTGGGGTGCTGTGTGTACGTATATATGTGTGAGATGCCAGACTGTCTGCATTGATGCTGTAAACATAGGGTTAGTCTCATGTGAGCAAGAGATGTTGCTTCTAGACACATTGGCTGGGGTTAACTGTGAATGTTTCCTGATTACATTATTTTTCTGTGAACTCCTGTTTCCATGAACCTGAAAGGATTTTACCACAGCATCTCCAGCTGAGAGTTCATTGGATGAGCTGCAGGCTGGTTTCCTCTTGTGGAGACCGCTGGGTTCCTAGTGCAGTGCTGTAGACCACGGGCTCTTCCAGCCTGCTGCTCCAGGGTGAAGATCCCTTCTGTGGAACTGGCAAGGGTGTCTGTGGCTCTGTGATCTGCTGCCAGAGCGCTGTGCTTCAGCGTTCCTGGAAAGTCCCAGCTGACAGGAAACTGGAAGGGAAAAAATGAGACTGCAGTCAAGTTTCAAAATCTTGGACTTCCCTGTGCTGGGAGTTCTGGCACACTCTAACATAATCCAATCCTCACTATTTAAGAGTATTGCTTAAAGTCCTAGCAGAGATGGGGAATAAACTTGTGTCCATAAGGCTGACTTTTCTGCATGTGTTCCTACAATGGCTCTAGTGCTGAGGTCTGCTAGAAGACTGCGCCAGTCCAGGTAGAAAGCTGGTTAGCTCTTGTATGTAACTGTCTCTCTCGTTTGAGATCCTTTAATGTGCCTTTGTGAAAAAAAGGTAAAGATGATGCTTACTGGCTTTTGGAAGGTTGAGCCAAAGTGTAATTTTTCACAGGGTTGAAAGATAAGAAGAAATGAAATCTAGTTCTGGATAAAATTTTTACTACCCTAGGTGCAAGTGTTACCTGTCTATTAAAATGAAGGCCAATGTTTATTGCTTGGATCAGAGCATCTTACTTCTAGTAGTGTGGTGGTGGCTGGCTCCCTACCTGACAGCCTTGGTTTCCCCTGTGTCCTGTACTGATGTGCTTACAAGTGAGTTGGGTGGCTGAGCCATCTGCCCATCCCTGCTGTGGGCTATGGGGTTCCCTCTCCTTTAACTCGATGCTGTTAAACCTCTGCTCATGCTGGATGCAGCAGGGTGGTTGTTTTATGCCAGTGACTCTTCAATGCAAACAAAGCTAATGCTATGTTGCTATATTAACAGGTAGCACTTAGAGGGATGGAGAGAGGGTTGCTGACAAGACCGTGTTACACCAGCTAATGGGTCTGTCCTTAGGCAACTTTGTTTTGTAGCATTTGGAGCCTGTTGTGTTTTCTGAGGACCGGGTACCACATCAGGTACTCACTAGCTAATTCACCGTGTGTTTCTCTGCATATGTCAATAAACATCTCCCCTTTGTTTTGAAAGGTCCTTCCTGTTGCTTCAGAAGAACTGGAGGGTGAAAGGTAAGAGCTGTGCTACTTCAGCCTACTGACGTCTTGCCCTCAGACAGAGGGGTAAGTCCCTGTAATTGTACCACTAACGTTTTTCCCTGTGAATGACAGCTCCAACCTGAAGAGAGGAGCCTATATTGGTGAAGAGGACTTTATTGCTGCTCCAAATAAGATGGCCAGAATAGAAGAACCAAAAAGAGGTATTATATTCTTCTTTCAGAGCCTGAATTACTGGAGTATTTGACCATCATGATAGATGCAGCTCACGTTAGAGAATTTCTTATTTTTATTTTAGTTCAGTTCAGAGTATGTTTCAGCCTGATTATTCTGGCTTTGACTAGTAATAGGGTTTGTATATCAGGATGTAGCTCAGCTCCACAAATCTTCTACAGTGTCAGAATTTCTGGAGTTTGCTGCCAAGTCAGACACTAATTGGCTCTGAACCTGTAAGCAGAGAGGCTCAGCTCAGGAGGTGAGCAGTTTACCAGTCTCCTTGGTGAATTGGGTGAGAGAATTCATCACACAATCCGCTACAAAATACTTTGGAAACTTCCCTCTAGGACTTTAAGCGATAAATGCTGAGAACTGTTCTGGGTATAAAACCTGCAAAGCTGGTACTGGGAAATGGGCTGCTCACTGCTGAGAGCCAAACTGAGAGAACATCCTGCTTATTTTTAACCTATTGTTGATCTTTGCAATTTCACATGGGATTGGATGTTGCTGTGGTGGTGTGGAAGGAGATGAGAGGTCCCTTTGGAGATGGTGTGGAGGATTACCTGCCTGATGACAATTATGTGTAGAAGAACCAGGACAAAGCTTAAAGAATTACAAGAGGAGGTTTAAACTTGTGATGTGGTGAAGGTTAAGTCTAGCAAGTCTGACCTTAATGGGGCTGCCCTTCTGCAGCCGGGATAAACTAGTAAGGAAGGATGGATTTTATAGAAGGAAATTAGACTTCTTCATTTTCCTTGTTGCTGTATGCCATAAAATGAGACCCATGGGATTCTCTCCCCTTTGGCTGGTGTGTCATCTGGCCTGTGCTGTAACCAAGAGTGTGTGTGCTGTCTTCAGTTTTCAAACCTACAGTCCTTTTTTTAAACCTGCCTTTAGCAGAGCAAATCCATCGAGGTGCTGTGCTGCCCTGAGTTCACTTTGGTCAATTAGAAGTGCCAGCAATTGTTCCATGTTGCAGGTGTGTCAAAGCTGTGGCTGATGAACCTTGTAAACAATCCAGGCTGTAATACCTAGTCATTAGAAGATGGATTAAAGACAGCAAAGCTGTTTAAGTCCAAGCTTTCTTGCTCTCTCGGCTTATTCCTCAGCCTTAATGCAGTTTTTAATGAGGCTGATGTTACATACAATGACTCTGCTAGCTTGAGAACGCTAAGGATGCTTACCTCATTCCCCTCCTAGCAGGAGGGTAAGTCTGCACTGCATGTCGGCTGTGGTGGTATGAGTATTGCTGAAACGTGGCAAGGGGGAGGAAGGGAGATGAGACAGCACAGGAGCAGCAGAGGATTGTACAAATAAGTTATTTTAAAATGAGGAGGTGGCCAGGATGGCTTCGCCTGCTGTGGCAGCATCTGACAAATCATTTTATTGTACAGAGCCTTAAGGCAAGTGACCTGTGAGATATAGAGTAACATGAGACTCTCAAAGCTGTGTTTTGTATTTCTCCTTTCTGCGTTTCAAATATGACCTTTTTTCCCAAATAATAGAGAAAATATCAAATAGAAAATTTAAATTATTTTGACAGCAAAGATGCTTGCACATGCAGTATTTCTGTGTGCAGAAGTGTGTTTGGAGCTAGCCTAGCTATGCGTGTTCATGATAGGATCTTCAGTGTATGTTGAATGTATGTATGTGTATCTCTTCGTAAGATCCTCAATGTATTTTACTCTGTGCTTAGCCACTGCCATACAGGTCTTTTCTGAGGAGCAGTTATGCAGTTAATTCCTCTCTCCAATTTGCTTTTCAGTGTTGCTGTATGTCCGAAAAGAGTCAGAGGAAGTCTTTGATGCACTGATGTTAAAGACACCATCTCTGAAAGGTCTAATGGAAGCGGTAAGTAGCAAGGCTGGTTTACAGCCCTTGCCTTCAGTTTGAGAGAAAGCAAGTATAGTCCCTGGCTGTCTAGTCCTCATACACTGGACAGTCACAGGAGCTAGACTCTCAACTGCAGCTTGTGTCCACATATTCCTGCTCTTCTGGATAGGAAGCATAAGGCTGATTTCCTTTCAATAACAAGGAAATTAATGTAAATAATGCATTAATTCATTATTAAAGGACTTGAGGAAGCTTCCCTTTTAAGTACTTTATCCCATATCTGTGGGGTCTGGGTGTAAGAAGGCGTTTCTCAGACTTCCTGAAAATCCAGGTGTGTCAAGCTTGTTGACTTGGTACCTGAGATAGTCCCCAAATGACAGGAGCTACTGGAGAGGGAGACTTTCAGGCTCACTTCTTATGCAGGCTCTGCTTTGGCCAAGCTGCAGAAGCAGCTGTGTGGGTATTTTTCCTAACTGCATCACAAAACTGTCAACAGACTCCCACTGTGGATGTCCCTCACGTCAGAGGGTGTTTTCATTAGAAGATGGAGCGATACCCAGAATGTGTTCAGTGGCTTGGGTTGTTTGTGGTGGGGCTCCCCTCCCCTTTCATAACCTGCTTATGAAAAGCTGCTGTCGCAGCTTCTGAGAGTGCCTGAAGACTTTTATATATCTGTGCACACGTGTGTGAAATTGCTGTCTGTTACTTGGCTTCCAAAATAGCCTTCCACTGTCCCTGCTGCTGCAGCGCTGCAGAGGAAACGGAGCTTAACGCCGAGGAATGGTGTAATGTTTGGCGCAGGCTCAAGGCTGACGTTTCTGGCTGTCTCTTTCTGTGACTAATGCCTTGTCGATGCTAAGAGAGAGGATGGAGGCTTTGGGGCTGTATGGCCAGGTTTTGACAGTAGCTTTGGGACCCAGAGATGGTTCTGTAACCTGAGGTTGTCTCTTTGTGGCTGTGGGAGGTTTGCCAGCACAGGCAGGCTGGAGGTGGGGGTTAATAGGAAGGAGGATTGAAGGCTATGAAGTCCTCCTTTACCTTGTGGTCTTGAAGGGTATTGGTTTGGTAGCTGTTGTGATGATTTGATAGAGCCATTTGGCAAGGTAAACCAGGCGTAGGCTACTGACCTCATGAGTTTCTGGAGGTTTGTATGGTGAAGTGCCGTAGTGAGTGGCTGTGGTTTCTCACTCGGAGATTACCCTGCTGGGTAAGGAAGATGTTTCTGATCAGCTTGTCCCCTCAGCTGCACAGGTCTTCACTCTGTTGCTGTTTTCTTTCACAGCCACTGTGATGACTAATTTTCATTTGATCCCTCTGACACTGAATTAAAAATGGCTTTTGGTATGCTGAGAGAACAGAGAACCAAGAGAGGAGGAGAACAAGCATGTGGGGTGATTTATAGTGTATGGGCTTTTCGGTGTGGGGATGGGGTTGCTGTATGAGGAGTCAGTGCCCAGGTTTAGAACATGGTTAAATGTTTTGCACAGAAGTTGGCAAACTGCAGAGGAGGGATTCTCGTCTATAGGCTTATGCAGGATTTAGTGTTGCCTTTATAGGGCAGAGCAGTTGCTTTCATCTGCAGACCTGTGGGGGGTGTTTTGTTCCTTTCTGTAGAATAGGAAGTGGAAGACAATGGCAGCAGCCTCCCTGCTTCACCAGTGCTCGCTTTCTTTTGTTCTAGATATCTGACAAGTACGACGTGCCTTTTGATAAAATAGGAAAAATCTTCAAAAAATGTAAAAAAGGGTGAGTATGTGCCTACGCAGCAGCTGGTCGACAGCGTGAACTCCTCTATTTCAAACCTGTAGGCAAAGCTGCTCCAGAATTCCTCCATGCACTGCACGTATGCAAATGCTGTTTGCGCTATGTGTGTGTGCGTGCCATGTACACACATTCCAACCTTATTCATAGAGCTGAACACCCCAAGGGTCCCATAGGAACAAGCAGTTTGACTTCCTGGGTAAATACAAGTCACGGAACCTCTCTGAGTTAATTGCTATTTGAACCAGAGTTGATCATGTCAGAGGAAGAAGAGTTCTGTTTGTTTAAAGACTCCTAGTGATGAAGAATGTACTTCAACCCATGTTAAATTGTTGCAGTGGTTAACTGCACTTGCCATGTCTGCATTTGGCTACAATTACTAAACCTAGTGGTCTTTTTGTGGGCTAAATTGAAGAGAACTTTATTGTGAAGTGCCCATTCCCCACAGAGGCCACACTCCACCATCTTTTTATTTTTCAGCATAAATAGTTGAGTTCCTGAAGCCTGTCTGCTTTTGGTTTTCCTTTTAATCTCAGTAATTTTCTTGGGTTTCTGTTTCTCTGAAGTCACTTGGGTGTTTCATCCCCTTCTCCAATGCCCCTCTGGCCAGAAAATTACGTTCTTTAGTCACTTTTGGAATGTAGTTTCAAGGGTTGTGCTTTCATAGCAGAATAACTGCGAAAGTTTTGAATTGATGGTGGCTAAACCACTGCTAAGGACAGCTCTGTGTGTGCATGCACACGTACCCACTCATGCGTGTGTGCACACAGGTATTTGCCCTTCCGGCACGTGAAACAGTGGCCAAGCATCAGCGGTTTCTTCCTGGCAAGCTCTGTAGTGTTTTGTGCTGATGGTAACTGTCACACAAACCAGTGCAGAGCCCCAGGGCTGCCCACGTCTGCAGGTTCAGAAGGGTTTCTGCCAGGTCCAAGATGTCTCTCCCTGGTCTGGGAGCCAGGTTCAACCCTTTTGTTCAGATCCTGGAAGTGGGGCTGTGAGCATTGATGGCAGGTTTGGGAACAGACAGCTAGATCCGCTATAGGAAGTGATAAGGCAGAGAGGGGTGAGCAGGGATCTTGTGTTACCCCTGGACAGTCCAAGCGCTCTGAGGTTTCAGGGCACCTTTGCTGTCTTTTACATTCAGATCTATAATATATCCCTGATGTATTTTATTTTTCCAGAATTCTGGTCAACATGGATGATAACATCGTGAAACACTATTCTAATGAAGATACCTTCCAGTTGCAGATTGAAGAAGTTGGAGGATCTTACAAGCTCACTCTGACCGAGATTTAAGGTCACAGATCCTCTGTGGATTTTAAACAAAGGTCTCAAGTGAACATTTTCCCATAATTTAGTATGTTGGGCAAAACACTAATCACCTTCTCCAGAAGAAAGCCAGGTGTTGACTTGTTCTGGGGAGCAGAGCAGTGGTTTTGCTTAATATATTTGTGTTTGTTCTTTCCAAGGAACATTGTAGTGCTCGTGACCTTATTTGCACTTGAAATGAGCGAGCAAAGATCAGCAATTAAATAAGAGAGCATGTATAAAACACTAGTAAATACAGGAGGGGAAGTCTCCTGGAAGGTGGCCTTTTAGAGTGGTGATATCTTATTTATCCATTTGGTAGCCATGTTTGAGCCTGTTATCAGCTAATACCATTTTATTGGAGTGTTTTCTGCTAGGTAGAACTGCAAAACTACTAATTGATACTAGTAGGAATTGCGTGCAGGTTGGAGAAAAGTCTTTCTAATGTTTACTCGTGAACAGGGCAGACTGTTGAGATCACTTGTGTCATTGGGGGGAATGTAAAACTGCCTTGCTTATGAAGAACTCGCCTTAGTAACTGTGTGAACTCTCATCAGATGAAGCTATATTGTATATAAGTGCAATATATTTTTGAAGGTCTGTAAATGTGTACATACAACTGATATATAATATATATAAAATATGGTGTTCTGTATATACCGTGAATATATGCAATGAAGCCCATCTAAAAGGATGCCATATACAGAGAAAACAGATATTTAACGTATCTATTTAAAAATGGACAAACCCTTAACACGCACCAAAGGTGAGCACACGTTTGTACGTTCATAGAAGGCACAAGAGACCTGCTTGTTCAACACGGATCTCCCTGTGTGGAAGGAAAAGGTACCGGTTCTCTCCCAAACCCTCCTGCACAGCCAGCCGATGGCAGTCCTGGCTTCTTATGGGACCTTTAGCCCTGGAACCGCTGTGTACTGCTGCCCTGGGAGGTCATTTGGGCTGAGTCTGAGGGCTGGGTGCCAAGAAGAGCTGAGCAGATGCAGTTTCCTGGAAATCTCACATCTCAGGGTCAGGAAGAAGGTCTCCTGGAGGCTGGATGCCTTTTTCTGTAGCAGTGTACTGCCTGCAACAGCGGCTCGGGCTGGATGAACCCATGGGCTGGAGCCAGCTTGCAAGGTCTAGATGGCTGGAAACTCACAGGCAAGGCTTTTGAGAGAGGAGGGTGGCATCCCAGCACAGCAGGCCAAGCCTTAGCAGGGAATGGGGGCTTGTAACTGCTTCCTGATGCACCTACATTGCTGAGGTGGAGAAATCAAAAGGGCAGGTGGTAGCAGGCACTCTGAGCATCGCCCCAGATACTGCTCAGCATTAGAGTGTACAGTATTTACTCACCATGTGCATGTGCTTATGGAGAAAGGCACCCTCTGGTTAGCAGCAAGTGAGAGAGGAACATCTAAACAGCAGCGCTTGGCTGTAAGGCAGAAACCTGCATTACAGGGCAAGCAGATGAGCAGGAGTACCAGGTTCAGTGTCAGTGCTTTTGTTTAGGGGTCTGGATAATAAGAGGGGTTTATAACTTCTTCAGGCAGCACAAGGCTGCGTGTGCCTCACCTAGGACATGAAGGTCAATCTGGATAGGCTGGATAAATAGTCTGAAAAGTGGGATATGATTCTACTTGATGGTTAAGGACTCTACTTAGTAGTTAACATATCGTAACTGAATGTTGTTCTTCTGCGTCACGTTGCTGTTCGGAAGAGGGAGGCAAATGCCAGGTCGAGTTGATAAACGGGAGCATGGCCTGCAAGAAATGGGAGACCCGCCTTTTGCTCTCCTTGGCATTGCCGAGGCCTCCGCTGGAGCGCTGTGCTCTTCCAGCAGAGCCACCTCCTGTCGGGTGTCCCAGCGAGGCCAGAGCACGTGGTTCCAAGGAGGAAGGGCTCTGAGTTGCCAGGAGAGGGGTCATCTCCAGAAGGGAGGATGCAGGTGAGAGGAGCAGCCTCCCAGCACGTGGAAGCGTTCTCCTGTGCCGTCACAAGCACAGTGAGAAGTATTGGGTGTAAACTGCAGAGGTTCAGGGTAGGGGTTGAGGTGGTTTTCTCTGGTGAGCGGTGCAGGTTGCCGGGGAGGCATCAGAGGTCTTCACAGCCGGGCTGGGCAAAGCTCTCTGCGCCATCACAGTATAATTGATCCTCCCTTGGTGCTGAGACCTCCCCACCGTATTTTTTTAATGATTTATATGGAATACAGTATTTTGGGATGTGTGTTCAGACCACTCCTGAGCTGGTTCACAGACCACTCCATTTCCCCCCTCCTCCTCTGCTGACGGGCCCCACGGAGGCTTGCCAACGCTCTGGGCACCGTGTGCTCCCTTCTTCGCTCTGTGGCTGGATTTGAGCAGACTCCACATGGATGCATCCACAGCTATGGGCTTGAAGCTGAAGCAGAGAAGCTGGCGTGCAGCACGGCGCTGAAGAGACTGGCCAACAGAGGCCACCCCGTACTGGAATCCACCACCACCAGC